CCCCAAAACCCCAAAACCCCACCTAACTTAAATTAGTGAAATCTGTGAACAAATTGATAAGATTTGTAAATTACATAATATTTTATAATAAATTTGAATGCTAAATCTGTTTTCAAAAAGATTCTTTGCTGCTTAGCCTGCTTCCTTTAAAAGAGCTTTGTATGCTGGAAGTTTTGATCCTCCATCTTAAGGTCATCTTGACATTATTGAAAGAGGATTGCCTCTTTGTGATGAATTGCATATCGGAGTTGCCATTAATAATCTCAAAAAGTAAATACAATTGATAGTTAACATAAATAACCATGTTTAATATAGACCCATATTTTCCTTGGAAGAAAGAATAAGATTATTGAAGAAAGTTACTCACAATAGAGATAATATAAAGATAGTTGGAGTTGAAGGATTGCTTGTAGATTATGCCTAAAGAAATGACATAAATTTTTTCGTATACAATTTCAATTTTCATTTTTCACAAATAGATTAGAGGTATTAGATCATTTTCAGATTTTGACAGTGAATTTTCAATGGGTATTATTAATAGAAGACTAAGTGGGATTGAGACTATTTTCTTAATGGCAAGCAGCAGCAGAGTTCATATATCTTCTTCAAGAATCAGAGAGTTGGCAATGTACGGCAGAAAGCTAGAAAACTTTGTGCCTCTAGATATTGAGGAGGAAGTTTATAACCATCTTTTTGATTTCTATTAGAAAAATGGGATTAATAACAAGCCAAGAGTTTGATAAGTTTTTATAATTTTTTTTCTAAATCAAATATTTATGAAATTAAGATTAAGTAAGTCGTTAAATCATCAATCTGATACCTCATCTTGGACTCCACATGCCAAGCTTAGTTGAGAAGAAAATCATTAGTCTGTTATGATCTCTGTCAAATAATTTCCTCACTTTCTTTTTAGTGAGCTCTTCAATCAAGGCTATGATCAATAATGAAGCAATGGCACAAAGCCATACATCATACTGAGGGTAATAATAGTTTCCTAAATCAGTGTAGTCATGAGGATAGTTAGGGCCTAAAAATGACATTGTGCTTAACAAATAGTAGGCTACAGTAATCAAAACTTAGATTACAAGATTAAGTCTAAAGTATTTATTCTTGGTGAACTTAAACAAAAGCGTATAATTAGGTGACTCATAGCCAATAGATAAATAGGTCAAAATAATCAACAAGTATGAAAAATTAAACTTATGCTCGAATTCAAATGTCAATTGCCAATACTTGTAGTTCCTCTTAAGTGAAATATACTTTCCATAGAGAATATAGTTGAATTAATCTAATATCATCATTTAGGATTTCTCATCCACTTAAAAGGCCTTAAAATAATCTTGAGGCTGAGTCTCTCTGAAATGCTCAATTGCTTATCTAATGTAGAAAATTCTGACACTGTACATTAATGCAGCACCAACAATCATTTTCAAAAAAGACGATTTTATCATAAATATAGCAAAATCTAAATAGGGAAGATACTTCGGACTCAATACATGTCGCTTCATTATTGAATTTTTGGTTGGTCTAGACATGCATGAGAACGAAAACAGTGGTACGAATACAAATAAAATGTATAAGGTCTCCAATTAGTCAATGTAATTGTATAATCCAAGGCATAAATCTAAAAGAAAAATCAGAAAAAGCATAAGATAGATGAATATTGAGAGCAGTGAAGCTTATTCAACACTTTCTCTGAGTCTTCTTGCCTCTCTAAAAACAGAGAAAAAGAAATAAATACTAGTGTTAGCATCAAATACAAAAGTGCAAGCTAAGGCATTGATAGCTGCACTTAATTTCTCTAATTTATTTGGCTGATATTCTGAGCTCTTAGAATTATCGAATTAAACATACCTAGTCTTTTGCTGATTGTGTGATATCAGACCATTACAGTTGTTGCATCTATATTAGGGTTCGATCATCATCCCTATTGCAACATTGGCTTACTAGAAAATATGCAAATTCTCGGAGTTCATTATGTTTCCTATACAACAAACTACATCATCATGTTCTTGATAAATCTAAAACATCTGAGTTGTTGTCTCAGCAGTGGTATCGCAAAACATTGGAACTTAAAGTGGAATAGTATCAACTTCTTCAATGTGCTTTTTTATTCCTTCGATACCATAGGGTAGTATAAGATGGCCATCTTGGTTGTATAATTTTGTGAAATCACTTGGATTCTCAGCTAAACTTATCCAAGCATTCCATTCACTGTCAATGCCAAGTTCCTTAGCCAAAGATTTTGTCTCTAAAACTTCTTCTTTAGAGAAAAGTACTCCTCTTATACCAGCATCATCGAGACTTTAAAATAATTCATTTGCTTCTTGTTTCTAATGATGCTTAATCCCTATAATACCAAGAAAAATCTAATTATTTTGAAAACTTTCCAACACATCACGAGACTTAGATCGCTTTTCTGTAGACCTTGATACCAAAATATCCTAAATGTCTGGAATAATAGGCTTATAAGAAAATCCAATAGTAACGAAATCGGAAGCTTGCCATTAAAATAAGATATCTTTAATAAAGCTTTCCACTTCCTTTTTTATTGGAACTATTTTTTCTCCATTCCAGTAATCTGAACAATTGTTAAAAATAATATTTGCTTCTCCTCTGCTAAACGATTGCAATTTCCCATCAGATTTATCTTTGACTATTGTTGTGACAAGATGTCCAAACTTATGAAATCTCTCTAAAAGCATCTTTTTAAGATTCTTTTAGTCTGCAAAAATGGCTTTTCCTCTTTAAGATAATTCACTTTTGAATGATTTTTTATCAATGTCATCTTCAGAAACGCTATTCTTCTCTACTAAATTTTCATATTCTTCATCTTTGTCAAAATCATCAAAACTCTTGTGTTTTTTGAATTCAAGTTCTCTAACCTTTCTTTTTTCACCATCAGATTTTTTCTTCTCGTCTGGGACACTTGGCAAAACATTCCAAATTGAACTAATTGTCTCAAAATTAGGGAAAGAAGAGTCAGTATGTCCTATCAACTTAGCTAAAGCGCAGACACAGTCTTAATGAGATTCTGTTTCTGCTCTTAATGCATTGTGAAAGTAAAATCCAATTTCTTTATTTATTTCCTTTGCCATTTGAGGATCTTTCGAGAAGATTTCTTTTAGTTGTTTTTCTGTATCACTTTCTTTAGGATTTCTCGCAAACATAAATGAAAGTCCCAAAGCCTTTAAGATATTTTAATTCTCCTTCAGTACATTGGAATTTTCAAACTAGTAAATTTCCTCTTCGTTTTTCACATGAGAATCATGAATAAGGTCAAAAACAACTTTCTACTAATTCTTATCAATCACACCTATCTCATCCACATATTTACTTGTTTCAGATACGATGCCCTCTTTGTCAACAAAAGCCAAAACTATAAAAGATTGAAAAAATAAATTTCTTACTTGAAACACAGCTTAAAGCTGCAAAATAGTTATTCAAATGATTAGAACCACTTCTTACATACCCCCAAAATACTTTCCAATTTTTCCTTATTCCTCTATTTTAAAAATCATAGCTTTTGTAAAAATCATCAGCATTTATTATATTATTCAATTTTTAGTTATTCTTCTAGAGTTTCTTTTACTTGCTTCTCTGTTTTTTAAGCCTACTTATTTAATGAGATTTGCTACAATAGCATAAAAATTTTCTCCAAGAAAACTTCTTCTTCTTCTTCTTTTTTTTCTTTTCTTTGATATTTAGCTTTTTCGAAACATTGTCATCATTTTATTTATTTTCTAAATTTGCAATGCTAGAATTGATAAGATTAAGAGTGGTATCTAGATTATTCTTATTGGAAGTTTCTTTCTTCAATAGCTTATATAAGTTGTGAGAACCTGGCAAAAGTTTGTAGTAATCTTCATATTACAAGGTATTGAAAAGAGTGATTATGAGAGCATTTGCCCAAGCTTCACATATAGAAAATATAAATGGAACCATAAATGAATACCCAATAAGAGTCAAATAAACATTCTAATCAAAGTAGTCTAAGGACCTGTCAGTTAATATGAAAGATATATTTATTGAAATGCAGATTAACCAACTAAATCCTAAGAAAAAATTAAGAATTTTTTCAGCTAATTTGGCATTCGAGAAATATAGTAGATTTTTTGAAAAATTCTTTTTTGTTTCCATATTATTGATGAATTCAGTAAGATCTGTCACGCAAGGGGTAGTTTAGACCTCAAATAGTTTGTATTCCTTTTTACTCCTTTCACTAAACGATATATTTAGAATGATTAGTAAACTTACAATGCTTCTGCGGGATCATTAGTATCCTAAAGTCCACTTAATTAAGATACTTTTTATAGAACTTCATTCAAACCTGGCAAAACTATCTTTTAACCTTTTCCAAATAATTTTGGGTCTTGAGAACTAATTTGCGGTGTTTTAGAAATTCCTATCCCCAATAGCCCCTCATCAATTTTATCAGTATTCTTTTCATTGTTAAAGTATTTAACTAAAGCTGGTGCTTTATCACCAGGCAATAGTTTGATTACATCTCCTTTTGCAAGAGTGTTATTCGGAATTTTCCTCCATTCTCCATTCCTTATTGTCCAAGTAAAGCAATTTTGATAGTAAGCGAATTCTTTTTCCTAATTCTAACTTATAAGTCCCTCCTCTCTGTTTGTATGCAGACCTATTTTAAATAAATTAAAACAATTTTACCATAAGGATTGAACTGCTCAATTAAGTTTTGAAGTTTGCTATCAATGTTAAATACCTTGTAGTTAAGTCTTTGAATTTTTAGATAGATATCTAAAATAATAAGTAGTAGCAAGACGATTATAGTAATGTAATGCTAGGTTATTAGTGATTTTCCTGATACAAAATCTACATTCAAGTGATTGTCGAAATCCTTCTCTTCTAGTCTATGAATATTGTATATAAGACCAGCTGTATAGGCTAGACTCAATATTGTGAATGGATGAAAAATTCTAGTCAGAGCAACTATAGTTTTTTTCTTGCATCTTTATGTGTGATCACGAAAGTTTTCCTCTCTTTACTTTAATAGATCTTCCAAACCCTCGATAATGATTCTATTTAAATTTAATGGTTGGTAAATATTACTCGATTGCTCGACCATTTTAAAGTCCTATCTTTTTAGTCTTCTGATTAATATCCATCAACTAATTAATATAATTTATTTAATTCTAGACTTAAATACTAACAAATTTTTGAAAGCGGGGTTTTGGGGTTTTGGGG